CCATAACATTCAACAAAAGCTTGTGAATCATCTACAAAACAGAATTCACAACTCCCTATTGACTCAATGTACTCCAAGAGGAGGGGTGAATTGGAGTTCCAAAAATTCTCCCCTTTTGTAATCACAAAACCAAAATTAAAGAGAGTAGAGAAAAAGAGCTTGCTCAATAATTTTATAGAGGTTCGGTCCAACCACTTTGAACCTAATCCTCTACCTTAGCTTCACTCACCAAGGATTTCCTCCACACTCTCCACTAAGAAAACAAGGGTGGCTTAAAGGAGCCACTCAATCCTTTTATAAAAAGAAAGGTGTTTCTCTCAAATCTCACCCATTTACACTTAAATCCCAAGAATCCTCTCTACAAATCACTCTTGAAGGATTAATCACACGCCCAAGATCACTCACAAATAGAACAAGAAAAGGATTGCAAGTAAAGATCTCTCAAAGATCAAAAACTCAAGTTAAAGCTCATGTAGGTAGGTAAAGATATTCAATACAATGCTCTCTTAACTTCCTTCAAATCTTCTACCAACCATATTTATAACCCCATGGTTGAAAATAGCAATTACTAGCCGTTGGGGGTCATTTAATGCTCTGTAAGACGCAAAGCTCGAGTTGCAAGATTGTCATAACAGCTGGCTTAACTCCCTAGCGCCGGCTCTTCACAATCGGCTTAGATTTTCTACAGCCAGCTCTACGGATTTCCTGCATTCTGTTTTCTCCATAGAGCCAGCTTGAAAATTCTACAGCCAACTTTGCGGGTTTCCTACACATTCTGTTTTCTTGCACAGCCGGTTGCAAATCATAAAGCCAGTTTTGGGATTCCAACTTTAAACACATTAAATAATCTTCAAATAACTCAACTATTGTGCATTAAATGCACCCTCACAGCCGGCTGCAAAGTTGGAGCCTACTTTGCGTCTTTTCTCCGCATGTGCCGAACAAGTTGCCTTTAACTTTTTACCCGTAGAGCCGGCTGCAACTTCTAGAGCTGACTCTCTGCACTTCCACAGCTGGCTACAAGTTTCAACAGTTGGCTTTCTGCACATTTTCAAGCCTTTTGGTCCATTTGTAGTGCAGTCTAAGTTTACTTACTTTGCAATCTTTTGACATTTTAACTACACACTTAAATGAGCTAATTAGTCACTTAAATGTGTTTTGTAATCATCAAAATCATAGGTACAACACTCCCTTACTTTCTTTAACAACTGAATGAAGGTGGAGAATGCTATTAATAGCCAAAATTTCACCATCCAACACTTTGATGTCTTCGAACTACACATTCTCTAAATAGGTTATGATGA